TACCTGGAAAAATGTTATTGTACTAAATGTGAAGTTAAATTATATTATATCAGATTACTTCGTTTTATTTTCACCGCACATATCTAAAGTACATGAGGTCAAATTCGGATTGTATCCAATCAGAAGTGTAATAAAATGATTATGCAGACATTCATTTATTTATGAATGTCATATTACTGCACTCTGAACAGGCTGAGTACAAGTTGTCAATTTTTTTTTGTGTTTTAATTTTTTTCTATTCTAACAACTTGAATCATATTTATGTGCATTACACGTTATTTTGCAGAATATATTATATTTTAACTGATGGAGCTGTGCTCACACTTATTCAGTGTAGATGTGTTTGTGTGACTAACTTGTAGATTACAACTCCTTAACTTTTTCTGCTTCTGCAGTTTTCCAAGTTCTGGTGCTGGTTCCTTGAATCCAACACAGAGGGAGGGATTTGACTTTTAGATGAAGGGAGATTTATCTAAATTCAGATCTCTTCTTATTGTGCCGTCCTTCCTTTAGGGGACAGGCTCTCCTGTTAATGTTGTTAAGTTTCCTCTTACCTTTCAAATCAAAGGAGAGGTGTGTTTTTTTTATTGTTTTCCCAGCAGCAGCCCAAGGGCTAAATGCCTCAAAACAAATAGTTTTGCAGCACAATAGTAGTGTGAATGTTGATGTGTGGAGGAGGCTATCAATCTTCTTATAGGATCTCCTAACTGTGTTCAAGCAGGACGCAATAGGCTGAACTGAAAGTGTTTCTCTATTGTCATGTCTGTTGCAAGATGGGCAACAGGTAGAGACAAGCCTTGCTGCACCTATCATATCAGGAAGTTAAACCTTATTATTAAGAAATCATCTGCTCTGGGAGGCGGGATACAACAGAAGTGGAGGTTTAAGGCATTACATAGAAACAAAAGCAAAATTTACTTTACCAAAGATAACAAGGAAGAAGATGTTTTAATGAGTATTTAAGTGATGAATAACTGCTATCTTTAATGGGTTTCCTTCCTGGTAGATTTTTTAATACCTTTGGCCTTGGAGCCGCTTAAAGACAAGATCAAGAAAAGTTAATTGTTACCCATCGGATTACATACATACAATGTGATTTATAATCAATCAGAGAAATCGTCTCAAGGTTTATTATTTATCCAAACAGTAATGGAGATTATATTCTTGCTATAAACATTTCCTTAAAAAAAAAACAACCTTAAGCTCTTTGTCTTAGTGAGTCCCAGATCCCCCGTCTTCTACATATGTGTTGTGATGTTGATGAGGCTCCATTATAGTGCTGGCAGGGGGGTCCCAGTGCACACTATTGGCCCCCAGAGCCTTTGAATGGGATTTAGTACAGGAAGATAGGATAGTTGGAGCGTTAGCTATAAGGAACATTGTTCTTTATGCTTTAAGAGAAGTTTTGAAGTTGGGGCCCTTATGGCTTTACTCCAGAATGAAACTATTATCAGTTATAAATTTAAAACTAACCTAAATATTGAGAAATCACGTTTCAGCTTCAACATTGCCTCATAGTTGAGCAACACAAGGCTGAGTATGTGTTTAGTCAAAGCCATTTTCGTAAGCCTTTGTGGTTTAGCTCTGGTCTGCTCAGACTGCCTGTATTTCCTGTTTGTGGTTTTCTGAGTGAAAAGTGCCTGAAATAGATCAGTGGCCCAAGGACAACTCCTATGATTTATACTAATTAGGACACACCAAAACTTACTTTTTATAGCATATCTATGCAGTTGGATCAGTCACAGGCAGAAGATATCTAGCTTGTTAGGTGTTGGACCCCTGAATATCTCAGCATCTATTCTTTATCAAGATATAAGGATGAAAAACACCTCAAATCGTTCAATACTTGCATTTAAAAAAAACATCAGCTTTTTGTTTTTGAGATTTAATTTGGTTGGTTAATATTATTTTGGATGGTATTTAAAGATAAATCCCTTGAATCTTTTATAGAGCATTGTGCATGACAGAAAATTGAGGTAAGATGTTCGGTGTTGCTTTTTTTGGCTTGCATTAACTGCATCCATATGCCAGTATTTATACGCCCATTCCTTTCACAGAGCCAATTTAGGCAACAGTTGTGCAATATCTGGCTTGGCAGGAGCCCCGAGCTTCAGGGCAAAGTCATTACATGGAGGTTATTAAACAGGTGTCAATTTAGTAACAACAGTTTCCATAAAAAAAAAAAAAAGTTTGTAAAAAATGTCTAAATTTTTCCAAGCTATAGAGCTAATCTTTGTGGCGCAACATAGGAAGAGGGAATTGTTGAGCTTTTCTAAAAATCCTGGCTCTGAAATGTGATTCCAGGATAAATCAGAACCAGATCTTGGTTGTTGGGCTCGATAAAATGCTTCTCTTTAGGAAAGCTCATGTTTTAACCCAACTATACCCAGCTAATGCTCTGCTAACACTTGGTCAGCTAACCTAGAGGGGCAAATATTTGCAGCAGCCCGAGGCCAAGCAGATGTATGTTTGAACAGCCTTCGCTGGACGAGCACAAGCTTGAACAAACAGCGCTCCTCAAACCAGACAGAACTCGCTTCTTGTAGATTATCTCAGAGGGTCTGCTGGGATCAGGATGGGGGGGTTATGCAGCTGTTGGGACCAGCTGGACCATGAAAAGTGAAAGGGGGCAGCAGTCAGTGTAGCCTCTGTGAAAGACACAGGTGTGTGTGTGTGTGTGTGTGTGTGTGTGTGTAGGGGGACCAGAGCGAAGGTAGTAGATGAAGACGGTTCGATTGGGGGAGGGTTTGCCGGGGAAAAAGCGAGAGGGAAAAAGTGGCAAAGAGTCAGAGTGGAAGAGCTGTGCAGTTGGTAGCTCTGACCTCTGTATCACCCACCAATAAATGTCTATTTCTAGCTCAACTCTGGCCAAACTTTTTTACAATTTAGACCCATTCCAATCGGAAAAAAAACTGAAGTTTTAAACCTTTAAATGAAAGTTTGAAGATTAATTTGTCTAACCAATCACTGATTGGAGCCGAGCAAAGGGAAATCTGTCCTAATTATTAGTGCATCAAACCCCTATTTCCTTATTCTTGCAAACAAACACCATGATGTCTCTCCTCCTGATTGCCATCTCTCTTTTTCTATTAAACTATGTGGTGGCAGTTTGATCAGCCTTCCTCGGTCGTCATGGTTTTACTCCTGCTGGTGCCAGTAAGGCTGCGGCTCTCTCTGGTCCAAAAATGTTTGCCTGACCTCACTTTCCCTTAAATTCTGCCTTCAGCTCTGCCCAGATCTGGTGAGGAGAAAGAGGCATCCGATGCCTTTTTATGGTAATAGCTTTTACCAAGAGCAGGCGACCCTGTGTGTGTTTGTAAGCCCAGATAAGAGCTGCTGGTAGAGAGGATGTTTTTCCCAACTTAAAACCAACTGATCATTTCAACATTAGATCCATCTGAAAAAAATTTAAGGATCCTTTTGGTGCCATCTGCTTCTTAAAGACCCTTCCTTGGGAAAATGCTTTTACATGATAAAACATGTAGCTCCCAGCAGAGAAGCCCATGGATCTGTTTGCACCCTCATGAGCAGGTAGACGTTTCATGATCGTTTGATCAGATGGATAAGGTGAAATGAATGGCGTTGTAAAGACTGCATTAGGGCAGATGAAAGGAAATAGGCTGAAGCTTTTGATCCTGAAAAACCAGATGTTATAAAATAAGGGATGGCACCCACACTGTGGCCTAACCCAGATCATTTTGCTCAAGGTTAGATGTTGGGGAAAATGAATTCCAGGGAACGATAAATAATTAGCCACCAGTCTTGCCTCCAGTGTCCTTGGATTTCAAATGATGCCGACTGCTGTGTGATTGGATGAGCGGAAAACCTTTAACGACGATAAACAAGAGCCTGCGGTTGTGCAAGTTAGAGTCCCTCAGTCATTAAGGGTTTCACAGGAATTCAGATGGCGGTTCGAAGCGCAGGGCTGATGAGAAAGACAAGTGAAAGCATTTTTAATGTTTGGGAAGAAAGCTGCAGGCTTTGTGTGCAGCTACATGCTGACATGCCCTTCCCTTGTTGGCTGAGTGGGTAGAAGCAAGACAAAGCTTCCTGCGAAGGAAATGAAACACCAGAAGGTTTTCTGGATGCCAGAAAGCCTCGTGCTTCTCTCTTCGGTCGTGTTTTTAAAGTGTTTATTTGTTCCCATGGTTATCAGCTGGAAAAATGCCTATTTACCTCCCCCTCTTTCTTCCCTTTCACCTTCTCAAATCCGTTTCTTCCCTCCGCGGTGCTTTTATCGCCCGAGTGGATGCGTATGTACGTTTTTGTAGATCCTGCAGGAAAGAATGGCTACTAAACTCAATAACTTATTGCTGCTTTCAGATTAAGGATGTAAAACATAGACTTGGTGACTGCAGAAAAGTTATTAGGGTCAACAGATGCAGTATGCACTCAGTTATCCTCATAAGAACCCAAACAACAGTGAACTTGAGTCAATCAGGAGCAGGATGGAAACATGAGGAGTCGTTAATCAGGCAGGAAATGTTTAAACAGCGTTCCTATCAGGCAGAAGCTCAACCTTTAGTGCTCTGCAGAGAGACGATTGGTCATCAGTTTATATTATGTGTCGAGGTTTCCGGCCTTTGACCTCGCAGCGACCCGCTGCTCCTGATGCAGACGCAGCGCAGGAGCCTGAGGGAGTAGAGGTTACTGCCCTGGATGTAAAGGAAGGGTGTGATATAACATCTCAGCGCTAAAAGTAGCAGTGGAAGCACAACGCTCGGTGGACAGGCGTCTGTGGAAGCTATATGGCCTAATGGAAGGTCAGAGGCAGTAAAGTCACAGAGGAGTCTCTGTGCGGTCTGTGCAGAAGTCTTTTTTTTCTTTCTTTAGAGTGTTTATGGATCCATGCTCTATAAATGTGCGGCTCTAGAATTAGACAGCTGCTAAATCTGTTTGCGTGGAGCTTATTTAAATCTGTAACTTTGCTGGGAACCATGTTTTTTTTGTTTTTGTTTTTTATGCTCAGCTCTCACCTCTGATTTTCTCTCGTCTTGCAGGAAGTCCAAGACGAAGCCAAATGGAAAGAAGCCACCGGTAGAAGAGAAGAAACAGTATGTGGAGCCAGAGTTCACGAAAACCCGAGTGGTGGATTTCGATTTGAAGGAGTTGGTGGTGCTGCCCAGAGAGATCGACCTCAACGAATGGCTAGCGAGCAACAGTGAGTGGCGCCGACAGGAAGTAGGAGCTTGTAGGGCTCAGCAACTGACAGCTAAACCATTCATGCGATTATCAGGCCTTTAAGAGCAATTATATGAGCTTTAAGATGAGAGGAGGGAATATTCCCGCTAAACTTTACCTCAAAGCTTGTTGATTGCTTTGCTTTGTACCGTTTTTCCTTTGGGGCTTAGGGTTGTTGTTGTAAAATATTAGAGCACTTATCATCTAGACTCTCCAAATCTAAGCCTCCAACATAATCCAGGCCTGGCACAGCATCACAAATGCTCTGCTAATAACGCTCAGTGGAACCTTAAAAGTTTTTTGTCTGACTATATTTAACATTAAAGGTGAAGTTTTGACTGTCGGATTAAGATCCAAGTAGTATACTTTGTTATCTTTTAATTTTTTGGGTACATATTTAAATCATTTATTTACTTGCAGAACAAAATGTTTTTTTCCCCCTTTTTATTTACAGTTTTATTGAACATTTAAAAGTTTTCCTATAAACTTGAAGTTTAGATCATGTTTAGTGATCCAGTTTTTCTGAAGTAGAGCTGCACTGATCACACTATTTTCCAACCTAACAGTTTATCTTTCATTAGTTTTTGCTGAATATAATTAATATAAAGTAAAATGGGTCAGTTCAGATCTTTTTTTAAATTTTTTTTTTTTTTTTTGGTGCATCGTTTTCATAGAGAAGTGTTCAGGATGTTGGATGTTAAAGTTAAATGAATCTGTTAGGATAATTATTTACCCAATTTTACCTCCAATTTAAATGGTTTCAAATAAGTCCCATTATTTAATGCTCAAAATACGTTTAAACATGGGTATGATGAATAAGAAATCCCTTTATTTCCAAATCTCAACATTGCTTACTGCTGTGTGTTTAAGTAAAAATGTTTCCTTGGGTAATTTCCACTGTTAAGTTGTGAACTTAAAGTAAACATCTGATTCCCTGATGGAATGTCGCTCTACCAGGAGAAACCTCAAATGTTGCAAACATCCAACCAGTGCAACAAATACATCAGGAAGTTTTTTTATTTTTTTTTATTTATTTATTTTTTTACCGTGACCAGCTTTCCTTCTCTGGCAATGCAATATGTAATGTCATTTGTTCCTGATAACGAATAATATTGCTCCAGCCTGGGCGGTCCTCTGCAGCAGATGTCATGGGATGGTTTGCATGTTGTGATCCGTGTTTCTTATCTGTTTTCACAGCAACAACCTTCTTCAATCTTATCAACCTGCAGTACAGCACCATTTCAGAGTTCTGCACTGGGGAAACCTGTCAGGCCATGACGGCTTGTAGCACGTAAGTCAATCTGCTACATGTGTTAGGGTATTTATAGCTCAACAGCAACCCATGATGCTTTATCAGAAATTTTCCTCCAAATGCCCTGGAAAAATCTTGTTTTTAATAAAAGTCTAGAGGTTTTGTTGTGAATGGTTCACCGTATAGCAGGAGAAATGGCCAATGTTGACGGTTAGGTCAACAGACACACAGCTGACCCTCTTCAGTAGCCGTACAGCCTTCACATAGATCCAATAGAAAACCTTTTTTACGACCTGAAGAAATTAGGAACCAGGAGTCAAACAGAGGTTCTAGAGGCCCAGAGACCAGAAACTTGAAGGTCTGTTCCCGTCGGCACCCATGAATCCAACAAGGAGGGCCTTATCAGGACCCTACAGAACCTAACTGCAGGCCGAGGAGTTAAATAACCCGTCCTGTTCAGGGACATGCAAGAGTGAATAGTTTTTATGTTTCCTGCTGATATAAATGATGCATGCATCTTAAAGCTTTTTACACACCACTTATATGGTCTCCCCTTTACATTTGTGTTTTTTCCTGGTTGCTTGTATTTTGCATGTTAAGAGCTCCTATAATCATGGTGGTCATTGTGTTAATTAACCATCTGGACCATTTCTTGCAGAATTCAGGAAATAACACATTTTTCCTCTCTGCAGTCTACAGTCTGCTGGTATCAAATTCACTTCCCAAATGCTGTGATGGCATATTAACACTAGATAAGATTAAAGTCATTTCTGGGTCACTTCATGGAGCTAAATAGGTTTTATAGCAGCAGTTTCTCTAGAGGTTATCAGCTAGTGTGAGCCTTTGACTTAAAAGAAAACATGTTGGCTTATTTATGGCGTGAAGGGTGGTGACTAACTGTAAGTATTTACCTAACTAGTTTGCCCTGTCAGGGTGTGGTTCTGTCGTCCTTTATTAGTCCCTAAACAGAGGCAGCTATGTGGGCTAAGCGGCGGAAAAACCTGATCAGCCAGACCTGGTGAAGGTCTGCAATCTGCTCCCGACATATCGCCGGCACATGAATTGAACATATTTACCAATCTGCTAAAGTGCTGCCACATCTTCACATTGGGAGAATTGACAACATGGTAGTGTTTCTGCAAGGAAGGAGCTGGATGAGCTGCCCTCTAGGTGGATTTTTCCACTGTTGTCACCTGAAGCTAGTCTGACTCTAAGAGGAAAGGAGGAAAGAAACGTGCTGTGAGAGCAGGGGATGGCGGCTGAGTCTGCTTAACTTTACTGATCCTGATCACTGAGCTGTGGGAAAAAAAAAAAAAAAAAGGTTTATCTAGAAAAAATAAATATTTGTGGTGAAGCTCCTCTTGATTTTATTTTCCATTGGGCTGCTTGTTGCTTATATTTCTGCCTGTACCCTTCTCTGCTCCCTGCTAAGCAGCGCCCCTCCCTTTCCTGTCCTGGCTCCCCCACCCCACCCATCCCCTTCTCTCTGTGGTAAAACACTGACTGAGCCACAGTCTCAGCAGCGTCAGTGCCCCTGCCCACGGGCAGAGCTCGCCTCTATTTTTGGAAGGAAATGTTTCCATGATCTTTGAGGGAATGGAACCATTTAGCAGCTCGTTTAGGTCCATTTTATACGGATGGCTGGGTAGAGTACTTCATGTGTACATTGTTGGGCTCACTTAGCTAGTTCCATTTTGGACTCTGCAAACAGTGATAAAATCTTTCATTTTTAAATAGTTTTTTTCCCCCCTTACAGCAGTTAAAATGTTATGAAGCTTAACTTTCAAGGAGAGAACAGATCTGCACTATTTGCACTTTACACCATGTGGGTGAAGTGTATTCTCTAAGCGTTCTCAACTTTTATTAATTTTGTCACATCTTAGTCATAAAATTCACCAGATTTTACTGGGATCTTCTGTGACTGAAAGTAGGCCGCCATTGTGGAATAGAAAGTTAAATAATATTTTTAGTTCTGCAGTATATTTATATATTTATCCGTCTATCATCCCATTGTGTAATGGAATGATAGATGATGGATCATTTTATACACAAACTCCAATTTAAAACCGTAAAGAACCTTATCCTTAACCTGATTTATTAATTTTTTTCATGAAGCTGATAGTTGTTTCTGTTTTTTTGGAAAACTTATAAGGCCTACACAGAACAGCTGTATGGTGTACATCTTAGGCCATCCTTAGTCCTTAGGAAAAAAGGTTTTGAGCTCCTTTTTTAAGTTTAGTAAAATTGTTACCAACTGGGCAGATATTTGAGACATTCTCACCTAAAAGCAGCATACATTTTTTTTTTTTTATCTTTTTTTTTAACTTCCATTTTTGGGGATACTCCCAATCCTGCCTGCAGCCTGCTCGCACATATGCCTCCATTTCCCATGAGTCATTGCAGGTCATAGCTGATTGGTCAGCTTGGACAGAAATGGTGGACGAAGGTGGCATAAATTGTTGTTAAAAAGTCAACATATTTTGCTAAAGAAGAGCCAAAATAAACATTGAGTGCTTTTATGAGAATGTTGTTTTGTTAAACTGGAATATCTACCTACTTGGTAACATTTTCACTAAATATTAAAAAAAAAAATACAAAAAAAACTTGAGGACTGATATTTTTCCCGAGAAATGAGGATGCTCTAAAGTGTGCACTGTACAGAAGTATTATTATTATTATTATTATTATTATTATTATTAGAGATTAAATCACCCAAATATTACCAATGGGATGACTTGTTAAGGCCATTGGTTGTGCTGAATTTTATTTAGGGGATTTGAAGCACATGGTTCTAGATTAAAGCCAAGATTTAGTAAAGTAAATAAAAACAAGGAATGGCGGGTTTATGTCCTGCAGGTTTATCCAGGATTCGTCACGTCTGGCCCACTGCCTCCCACCTACGCAGCTATTATCTACACCTGCGCTCACATTTTCTCACCTGGTTGACCAACTCCTTTAAGCTGTGTGAAGTCATCCTTAGTTTTATTGGTCTGAGTCATGTTGCTGCAGGTTAAAATCCCTCATGTGACTTTTCAGACTGATCCCAGTCAGCTGTTTGGTTTTTTTGGGCCGTTTTATGTAAATGCTGCAGTTGGCACAGAAATATTCTAGAAGCAATGGGACCGGTCCAAGCTGTAGGAGTGATCAGTGACCCAGAACTGGCAACTTTATTTATGGATGTTTTCATCAGTATACTCTTTAATTAAGAACCTTTGTGTCTCTTCCTGAATGACGACACAAGAGATGTTTGTTTCAAAGGTTGATTATGTCTCAACTGTGGCTGATGTTGTTTATCTTCCTGTTGCTCCAGGAAGTGCAGCTGATTTCACCACAAAACATAATTTTTTTGTGTCTATTTAAAGTAAAAACTGTTTTAAAATATCAGATAAGAGAGATTTACATAATCTCTGTCTCTTTATCTCCAGAATATACTACTGGTATGACGAGAGGGGGAAGAAGACGAAGTGCACTGCTCCACAGTACGTCGACTTTGTAATGAGTCTTTGTCAGAAACTGGTCACAGATGAGGAAATCTTTCCCACAAAATACGGTGAGTGAACCCCTCCACCCCCACTGATTTACTGCCCCCTGCAGGTGGAAAAATGCCTTAGTTTTCCTAAGAAGTCTGCTTAACTGGAAACTCAGTTTAGATCCTATAAAGATAAAATTCAGTGGAAATGTTGAGGCATATTTCCAGGATCTATTACATCTAGTTGACTCAAAGTGGATTCCAGCAGAATCTAACCCTAAATTGCTTCATTACTCCTTTATCCACCTCATGCATTCATTCAGCGGTTTGTCATTTTTTTTGTAATTCCTCCGTCTTCCTTGACGTTTTTCAGGTTCCACATTTAAACTCTGACATCTGTAGAAATTCCCAATATTTCGAAGTGATTGCGTGTTAAGTTGGAAAGTGGACTTAAAGAGATTTAGAACCCTGCAATTAAGTCATTAAAATAAAATACTGGAACTCTGACCTTATGTGATTCAAACAAAAGAAACTAGACTTTGATCTGATTTGTTTGTTTGTTTTTTAGCAGGTCCTTTTGCTAAAACCTTGAATAAAACTAAACTTCCAGTTTAGTGAAGTTGTGTCACAGGGTGTGTGCGCTTTAAACCGAAATGAATAAATGACTATGACCCAGTGGACTTAACCCTTAACCTCCTTTCCTCCCTCGTGATGCCTGTTCACTAAACCAGTCTCTCTTGTCTGCTTCCGTTTTCTCCCTTTAGGCAAAGAGTTTCCCAACTCGTTCGAGTCGTTGGTAAAGAAGATCTGCCGGTACCTGTTCCACGTGCTGGCTCACCTCTACTGGGCGCACTTTAAGGAGACGGTGGCTCTGGACCTGCACGGCCACTTGAACACTCTGTATGCACATTTCATCGTTTTCGTAAGGGAGTTCAACCTGATCGACCCCAAGGAGACCTGTATCATGGACGACTTGTCCGAAATCCTCTGCAGCCCCGTACCCTCCCCGGCCCCCTCCTCCGCAGCCCCAGCCCCCTCCCCGTCTTCACAAAACCACGTGACGGAGAGATGAGCAGGGGTCGAGACGGCGGCCCAGGGGGGTGATGGAAGAAAAAAGAGGAGAGGAGGAAAAGAAAAACCCACGGCCCAGCCCCCTTCCTCGGTGCAAGCAGGACTTCTGAAACCTTCCACTACCCTTAGATTTCGCTACGACACCAACAAACTAGCTGGAAGAAAAACGCCGGGGACGGTTTTAAGCGGGGGGGGAGGGGTTTAAGGTTGCGGGGAGGGGTTTGTCACGCCAGCAGGAATTGGCGTGAGCGTTCCTCCCAGGGACAAATCCCTCCCATCTTCTCTGCGATCTAAACTAGGAACAAAAATCTGTGTATATTTTATTTTTTTGGTTTATATTTTCCTCTTTTATTTTTGTTGAAAATTTTACTCAGTTTTATTTTGTTGTTGGAGCAGGGTGCTGTGTTTGGACCCACCTCCACCTGTCCTTTGCCTAGTATACAGTACAGGAAAGGGTGGCGGGAAGGGGGGACTGCTTTGCTTCAACCTGCTATGTGTACAGTGTTGTGTGGATGATGCTCACCTGTAGGCTCTTCTTCCCCCTGGTCTGGGTGGGGGGGCTGCTATGTTTAGGAGGCAGCCATGTTACTGCCCGATGGGGCAAGGGGCTAGCCAATCACTGTTTGGGTTCTTTATCTGGAGGGGGGGGGGTTATGAAGGCGCTTTCTACTCAGGATCTGAGAGAATCAGACACTGCTGCCAGAGAGGAGCCCCTCATTCATTCTGTCCTTTTTCTTTCCCTATTAGACTCCCTCCTATGACAAACGTTTATACCCCCCAAAAAACACCTGGATGAATCCCTGACGAGCGTGTCCCAGATCCTACCTATAGAGGGCAGCAAACATGCAGAGGAAGCCCCAGACACACAGCGGCTAAATCTAAAGATTGTACACTAGATGTAAAATCTTTATCAGAGGGAGAATACTTGGAGGCAGACTGGTTGCCCATTTAGGGCGATTCCCAGCTGCTTGCTGGTGACGAGCCCAGCGGCACCACCCACTCCAGCAGCACAGGAGGACAAAGACATGAGGTCATGTCTGCAGGCTCGGAGAGGCGAGCATGATGACGGATAGGAGGGGTGGGAAGGATGGTGCGCTGCTGCGTAAACACTCACCTATACTTCCAGCTCAGAGCTTAAAAAAAAACAAAATATAGCTTTTATTTTTCGCCTCTCCCTTTAAATTGCTTTTTTTTTTAGAGGGAAAAAAAGCTTATCAGGAGAAAATTAGTTTGGGTATAGAAAACGGCAGAAGTCTGCTTGGATTTAACTGCGCAAAAAATCCCTAGCGGCTTCTGTCAGATATAGCCTCTGTTTGGAGGAGGATTGGATTTTTCTCCATTTTTATTTATTTTTAAATTTCTCTCTTTTTTTGCAGGGTTCCTCAGTTCTGGCTCATTTTTATGTATTTTAATTATTAACTAAGTTAAAAGCAATTTAATATTTTAAGCTCTGCGGATCATAATCTAATAAAAGAGAGAAATGCAACCTGCCTCTGTGTCTTATTATTCTGGATAAACTTGTTTAAAATATTACACACAAAAAGGTTTATTAATAAAAAAAATAAAAAATAGTTTCCAAAGTTCTGCATTAGTTTTGAGCTTTGGAAACATTCAGAACAATGTATCAAACCAAAATGAAGAATACCCAAAATCACGTCCACCATGAACTCGCCATGTGGTAAAGATGACTTGCTGGAATTTAAACAAAGCATCAATTGGAGGAAATGAAGGTATTTGTTATTTTGAAGCTGGGCGGGATTGTCTGTGTGTAAACTGATCCCACTGGGATTTAGACACAACCATCACATTAACAGGGGGCCTGCAGCACTTTTGGCCTTTAATCCAGCAAACTAAAATTCCTTCAGCAAAACAGATGCTACAAAACCTTTACAGAAAAAGAGAAACTATGATTTGAAAGTATTTCTTATTTAAAGATTCACTATTTCTGTTTGTATATAAAACCATAAAATGGGAAACAATGTAAAAAGATATATATATATATATATAGATATATATATATATATATTATTATTATTTTTTTTTTTCATTGAATTAGAAAACATAAACCCAATTGAGCATCTCTGCAGAGAACTGAAAATGGCTGTCACCAACGCTTACCATCTAATCTGACAGAACTGGAGAGGATTTGTAAAGAAGAATGGCGGAGGATCCCCAAATCCAGGTGTGAAAAACTGTCGCATCATTCTTAAGACTCATGGCTGAACCAGATCAAAAGGTGCTTCTACTCAATACTGAGCAAAGGGTCTGAATACTTATGACCATTTGATTTTTCAGTTTTTCTCTCAATATATTTTCAAAAATGTCTACTTTTTGAGGTTTTTTTCTGTCATATTGGGGTGCTGATTGTACAGAAATACAATTAACTTTACTGATTGTAGCAAATTGCTCCAATGAAACACAGAGTGAAAAAATGTAAAGGGGTCTGAACACTTTCCACAACCATTGTGTGTGTGTCTGTGTGTATATACACACATTTATATACTAGGTCTTCTGTTGTAGAAATGATTCAATTAAAAGAACAGCTAAAACCAGCATTTGTCTTTATAAAAACATTAGTTTTAACATTTTAACCTGTGATATTGAGCCAATGGGGAATCAGTAACTGACCCACTCTTCAGGATTATGAAGGATGCTCCAAGAAAGAGAAAATCCAGTAAGCAGCAATTCTGAGGACAGAAACACCTAATGAGTCTCGTTCAAGCTCACACAAGAACCATCAGTTCGTGCCTAATAAATTCACCACTGAGTGCGTGCATATGTTTGCATTTCTACTTTAAAAAGAAACAAATGCAAACATGTTTTAAAGTCTGAAAAGTGTGCAATTTTAACATGGAAAAACTATAAAACATTCATGTTCATAATTCATTTGAGAACTTTCTCTGCATTTAACAAAGCCTTTTATCTCATTTGAGAACAGCACAGTGAGCTTCTAACACAACCAGGCTGAAACATAAATGGTTTTCTTCAGTTTTGTTTCAAAGCAGTGGGAGAAAAAGAGCAGCTCTTTATGGTTTCTTTTTACGGAAATGTTCAGGTGATTCATTATTGCTGCATTAATAGAAAAAGGTTCAGAACCATAAAGCAAAAAAAGAGCATTTTCGTATTCATCACTCAGACTATAAACAGAGTAATGGCGCCATCTGCTGGCACTTTATCGGTAACACAGCACATCTCACCATGCTGATTCCCTTAACAGATTAAGCAAAAATAATAAATGCACAATAGAAAATGATTAGATAGAAAAACACTTTACTCTTCATATCATTTTCAGCAAGGCCATATATAACATTCTTTAATTATTTAAATTAAACCTCTTTTAAATAATTTAACATGCATGCAACCACTCTTGGATTATAAAACAAACATTTCACTCTGGATACCAGGGCTCTAATTAACTGGATAGTTCAGAATCTTTGCAGCGGGGTTTCATTAAATGTTTTCACAGTTTATTGTTTTAGCAGCAATAGAACCCGTTTTCAATTATATTTCATTTTTTGCTTTCATCTGTAGCAAAGAATTTTTTTTTTTTTTTACAAGTTTGTCTTTACTGGTTATGGAAATTCAATTAATTTTGTAATATTTTATCATATATTTTAAGTTGCACTCTTTTTCTATTGATGGTGGTTTTGATTAGTTTGGCCAAAGCCACCTTTATAAAATATAACACTTAAAAACAAATATATTTCACAATTTATTTTGTTTTAAATATTACTGTCAGTGATGTTGCAATGCCTCCTGCATAAATAAAGCAGCTTCTGCACTTAAAAAAGTTTTCAGGGTATTTAAAAGTAGACATTTTAATTTTAATTAAGCATGTTAGCCTGGAAATAAATATTCAATAGAATGATTCAGTGTTTGACAATTAACATGTTAAATGTCTCTGGTCAGATGATATGATGGTAAAAGATTTTTGGACTGTATTCCTTGAATAATAATTTTCATTATTATTTTTAACCACCATTGGTTGACTTGTGAACCCATATCTGCCTCTGATTGGCTAATCTATGTTCAGGTTTCCTCCCACAGAATTGGATTGATCCTAGAGAGCTGAGTTTTCAACATTTTAAATAACATTTCAGATTTTATGCCATCAGTGAAACATTTCCCCACACTGCCAAAAACATCTAGAAATAATTAAAAAATGTCTTAAATGAAGTGTATTTACCCTTAATTTGAGCAGGTAAATAAGATGATCTGCCAATGGAGTATTTTTACTCCTAAAATAAGATAATTAGATAATATACACTTTAAATAAGACAAAGCAATTGTTTTTTTCTTATTTTAAATGTAAATGTCTTGTTCCATTGGCAAAGTGTCTCACTTACCTCCTCAATTCAAGTAAAAATGCATTTAATTTGAGCAAAATTGACTTATTTAGATTTCCATGTTTTTGCAGTGCATCTCTTTGGCTTTAATCTTTAAATAAATAATCCAGGATCACATGTCAGGATTGTCTGTTGGGACAGAGCAACTGGCTTTCCCTTTTTCAATTAGGAATGATCAGGCATGACTAGTGACATTTCACTATCTATTTCATGACATTACATTCTTTTGCTATTTTAGACTTAGACAACGTTTGTCATTTTGTATACACAGAGTGTACAAAGTTACATTTATTTTCTACAGCTTAAGATAAACTTTGATAGTTTATCCTCTGAGGCTTGGATGTGGACTAATGGACACTTATTATCTTTGACTGCTCATCATTTACTGTAGCATTTTATTTAGTTTTAATCGTGAATAAATCATTGTACTGTCATATTCGTGAAAATCTGCTTGATTTAGTAAATGATGGGAAAGGAGGTAAGAGATCCTTCAGTGTGGGTCATTTATAAGAACATTCATTTATAAATATCTAATACAGATTAATGCAGCTCAGTTATGCTGCACAGAAGGTGTGTGTTCACTAAAACTGGAATTAGCACGGACCCCTAATCTGGTTAAAAAATAAATAAATACAAACTTTTAAATACAACCAGTTTTTGAAACTGGAGTTACTTTCAGATTTTAGACCTCTACTTTTAGTTCCTCTCAGATAATCACTCTGGTTTCATAATAAACAGAGAATCGTTGATTTTCTTTTCTTGCAGATTAAATGAATTTAACCTTTTTTTTTTTCAGATCCCCAACAGAAGAAATAGTGAACTATCCCTTTAACAGTCAAAATCATTTCAGTGCTTTTCCATCGAACCTGAGTCAAACGCAGGTTTATGTGTGCCTACACTTTGTGCATGAGTCAAATCCATTTGTTTCAATAATCGACGCTCCTGATAGTGAAGCGGCTCCGTTTCAAACAGGGTGATTCACTTGCTCTCCGTCCTGGACCTGCGCACCGTCCCAGCCGCCCTGCGCCTCCTCACGCACGGCCGCGCGGTGACGCTCTCGTTCAACTTAAGTCGCGCCACGCCGCCGGCCTCCTCCAGCTCCTTGGCGCTGCAGCAAGGTGTCGGTACCTTCACGGTGTTGCCAAACTTGGAGTAGTCCACTGCGTACATGCCGTCATCTTCAGAGACCGTCGGCACGAAGCGCTGACCCCACAGGATCTCCTCCGACACGTAGGAAGTCCTGGCCTGCGTGGTGATGCCGGTGGTCTCCACCACTCCTTCCAGCACCACGATAACCTCCAGGTCCTGATGCTGCAGGTCTTCTGGTGATAACTCGTACAGGGGGCTGGACTTGTCGATCACATGGCAGATGATGAGGGGAGACACCAGGAAGACGCCGTTGGTTCCCACCGGGTTATCCATGTGGATGTCGATCTGGTCCAGGGGAACCACTTCTCCCTCCTCCGTGGTGCTCCTCCTGACAACCTGCATCCGCACGGTGGCGCTGATGATCATACTTTTCCTAAGGTCTCCGATGCGGACCATAAAGCACAGCTTGCTGTTTCGGAGGGAGATGACTGCGTGCTTGCTGAAGATGAGCGTCTCGGCGCGCCTGTGGGCCTGCGCAGTTTTCATGAAGATGCAGCCCAGCATGATGGCGTTGATGACCAGCCCGACGATGTTCTGCACTATGAGGATGATGATGGCCGACACGCACTCCTCCGTGATCATTCGACCCCCGAACCCAATGGTCACCTGGACCTCTATGGAGAAGAGGAAAGCGGAGGAGAACGAGTGGATGTCTGTTACGCACGGGATGAAATCATCCCCCCTTTGATCCAGGTCTCCGTGCGCAAAAGCCACGAGCCACCAAATCATCCCGAACAGGAGCCAGCTGCATAGGAAGGACATGGTGAAAATAATGAGGGTGTGGAGCCATTTTAAATCCACTAAAGTTGTGAACACATCCTGTAAGAACCGACCCTGTTCTCTGATGTTGGTGTGCGCAACATTGCAAGTGCCGTTTTTTCCCACAAACCGAGCCTTCCTCTGCTTGGCCTTAAACTTCGGGGGCAGAACATCCTCAGCTAACCGCGTCAGCAAGTAATCCTCAGGAATGAGTCCCTTCCTGGACAACATCGCACTCCCATGCTATGTACCCACAACCTCCAGGCTCGGTGTGCGGTCTGCGCCCGGATCTCGGATGGACTCGTTCCCTCCTCCTCCGCGCAGGAAGAAGAGCCCTTATGTCAGCTGTGTTCTGGAGGTTTGCGCGCTCCTCACGTTGCCTCCGGATCAGGCGCTTCAGGACTGGGCGATCCCATGAGAAGACTCTCCCTCCAAACTCCACAGCTGCCGCCGTCACTCACAGAACCGAGCGACTGAGCGGACATCGCTGGGCCACGCCGCGCAGTCTCATCCCGCTCACCTATGCGTCGGTGCGCTCTCGTGCGTAAAGGCGATTCCGGGGTTAATGATCTCGAACAGAGATTATTGAGCGGCTTTTTGGTCACATTTGGAGTAGGAGGTAGGCTCATGTGTCAAAGCTGGTTGTGTGATGACCTCGCCACTCCACTATAGCTCGGTAATGTGAGATGGAGCGAGGAGATGCAGTCCCTCCCCCACCCTCCGCCTTATTCTATTGCTGTTTTTTTAAATAGTGCCTTTTAAGCCCTAATCGCGCTCATAAAACACATTCCTATTATATAGGAATTGGTTTCATTTACTCACCGCAAACAGAACCCAACTTAAAGCCGTAGTGTGTCAATTATATCCCTCATAGGGCCTCTGCTGCTGGCTTAAAGGCAACAACACGCCCACTTTCTTTTTCTGCAAAACGGTGCAACAAAAGCGCAGGAATGAGGATCTAACAGATATCCCCTGGGAAGCTCATAAAATCATTTGCACATCTAAAAATGACTATAGCCTATTTTATAGGCTTTTATAGAACAACATTTAGTAGGTACATAAACAGTGATTTTCAGTTTTTTCCCTCCAGTTTCAGAAGGCATTGGGTATTAACATGTATTGATTATCTTTACACTACCTAAACAGACCACACAATATATTAACATGTGCCACTCTACCAAGGCTTCAGTTATAAGGTAACATAACCTCTGCAGAACAGAGTGGCATCACATACAATTAATTTATTAAACAAAGAAAATATGCCAATACTATTTCTGTTGAACCAAATCACCTCAGGTCAGTGGCGGTTCTAGATATGGGGGGTTGTTCACGGGGGCTCAGAACAAAAAAAGAAAGCAATAATTAATTTTTTTATATATTAAGTCAGATGTAGATTGTAAAAGCCATGTGCAACTCTGAGGAAATGGCAGATAAAATGTAGGGGTGGGAAACCGATTTATTGGTCATGATTTTCTTAATATTGGGAGGTTGGTGATTGGCAGATATGTAAAACCAATTGTAGCCGCTGATGTCAATGCTGTAAATTTTTCATTTATATTTTAAAGCATCATCTTGTGCAATTAAAATGATTTTTTTTAATTTTTATTTTTTATTGTTTTACATGTGTTTCTTTTTCCCAATAAAATGAGACTTAAACATTCAGTGTGTGCTGGGATTTTACAACAGCTGTTATGCAATATCAGCATCAGTCAAAATTGAAATTGGCATATCCATCCATCATCTTAGGCTTAGCTTAGTCCTTGTCAGGGTGGCAGTGGGGCTGGTGCAGGTGCTTGTGCCGTATCTTCGACAGTCTATGGGTGAGAGGCGGGTTACATCCTGGACAGGTTGCAACAGAGAAGCCAATTAACCTCACAGTCATGGTTTTGAACTGTGGGACAGAGCAGGTGTACCTAAAGAGAACCCACGCATGCAAACTCCATGCAGTTATTAAACACAGAACCTTCTTGCTGCAAGGCAAGAGCACTACCCACTGCAGCACAGTGCAGCCCAAACTTGAATATCATGCTTTTGAAAGATCAGTCCTCGGCCAGAAAACAATAATTGGTGGACAGAAAAAAACTGTCACAAAATCTCCATACAACAAAGCTAAAAGTGCAACACCTTCCTTTTTAAATAATTTTAGAAATAAATGTGTAAAGGTGGAAAAAAAAGAAATAGATCGAAGTAACCAATCAGTTATGGTTTCTGTCAGTGCATATAATTAAATTAGATTATTTTATTCGTCATTACATATTGAGTACAGGGGCACTGTCCCCACCTGGCCCCTGTGTAAGACCACCCATGTCAATGGTGCAGATGGAGGAGCTAATTACACGTTAGCTAGTGTACTGAGAACAGTAAAGGAGGCAATTACTATGAGACTAATAGGGGACTATTTAAAATACACTGCATCTTTGTGTGGAATTAAAAAAGAAAACAAATCAATAAATTAGTCTAAGTTAAAATAAAATGTGTTTGTTTTGTGTAAAGTGGAACACTAGTATTTTCTTTTACAGTTTCTTCAAATTGAGCTGAAGACGGTTTTTGTAAAATCTGAAAAATTCAGACCAAAACATATTTTGATGATAATTTATGTTTTATTAACAAAGAATCAATTAGTTTATGTACAAATATAATACAGCATGATTAAAAAATAAAAGGAATATATTTATTCCATGGTACAATTGCACTTTGAATGTCTTCCTTTGATGCTTCCAAGGCTTTTCTCTTCTCGTGCCGCTTCCTCTATTTGTCTGCTCGCACAAAGGAGGCGAAGACGCTGTCCTCCCGGTTGAGCAGGGCCTCGGGTCTGTCGTACTCCAGGATGATCCCTCGCTTCATCACAATCACCAGGTCGGCGTTTAGGATGGTGTGGACTCGATGCTGCGTGGGGGAGAGAGGAAGTAATTTACTGCAATGGGAAAACTCAGAGACATCGGTCAAAGCTTCCTATACAACTGACTGTCAATCTTCTAAAACCTACATGCAGTGATGTCATTATGCATAAGTCAGTGAGTTTCAACTAGAAACATAGCTGAACTTGGGTTAAGAATGTTAAACTTTGACAGATTGTGACCTTCATGTTTTGCAAAACCTTTATAAAGACAAAAAAAAAAAACATCAGGGAAGCTCCTTCATTTCTTTTGACCTAGTTTTTTCTCTTTCCATAATAATCAGCAGCAGAATATCTGCAGCCATTTAAGAGAAACACATTAGCAGAGCAAGATGAAGGTCAGCACTCTCAGGGGGAAATGTATAGCTGTTATATGTTGCTGCAGTGGTTGGAGGAGGAAGAGGAGGAGGATACTCACTGCTATAATCACTACTGTCCGGTCAGCAAAAGAAGTCATCACCACTTTCTGCAGGATGCTCTCCTGTGGGATGCAGAGGAAGAGGATGTTGGTTCAAAAATGCTCACTTTACACTTCGCCTTAAAAGATGTTTATGATTTAACTTCATGGCTACAGAAAATAGTTTTTTCCCCTCTGTTCCTACTCCTGTTAATGTATGTGTATTAAAAGCTGACTCTTGTTTCCTCCAGGGCCTCACTGCCCTGTTATAAACTCAAACCGTAGCTGTTTGTGGGGAAACATTCAGGCGGAGAACATCGGAATGTACAGAATCTTCCCTCAGGCTCTTATATGCACTTAGTGGATCTCTCTTTATTTCAGTTTCTTTTAGCTTCATGCATATCCTCTCTGGCAGCTCTGCTTGCTTCTTACTCTCCTCCTCTCTCTTAAAAGCACAGGTTTAGGCTGCAGTTTCTCTCTCCATAGTAGCTTATATTTATAAACTACAGTTTTGGTTGAAAAGGTACAGAGTGGAGGAATTTTCTTCTGTCAGTATGCTGCTGCCAGTCATACTTCTGACTGAAAGAGCTGACATTCCAAAGTTTACCGTAAAAGGTAGCATAGAGCTAAGGTAGCCTAGAACATGGTGACTGACAGCTACATCACTAAACCATTTTAAGCCAAACATGGACTGGTTATGGGGGTATAATGAGGCCTGCAGAGCTACTGCATGGCTTCCCATCACTGAGTTTGCTGGTGACACAGTTTTGGGGAGAAATTGAAATCTGACTCACACAATCGCAAAGATATTTCAACCAAAATTTAAAGTTTATATCATTTTATTACTTCCCATTTACTTATTTTTAATGTATAATTTTAGCACAAACCTATAAAATAAACCCAACATTGCATTTTCATTAGTGTTATATAGCTTATTTAGTCTAAATACATAAATATTAGGTTTAAGTACCGTATTTATAATTAATAATGCACACTTACTTACTCAGTGTATTTGTTTCAAATACATAAAGTTTTTTTGTTTGAGGTGCATAATAATAACGTTGACTTTATGCAACTCAAACAATACCCTTTATGTATTTGAAATAAATACACAAATTAGTATTTATTTTGAGTTAGCATATTTTTTTAATACTCAATACATAAACCTGATGATTTAGTACTTAAAATAAAAAAAACTTTGTTATACAAATGAATATGGATCATGTAAGATTTATTGAATAATTTATGGTTAAAATCACTTAAAAAAAAGTTTAAAGGAATTTGTTATGTAATAAATTTACATAAATCTTAAAACTTTGATGAAATATTTCTGAGGGTATGCATAAGGTTTAGGATCCGGATTAAAAGCAGGGTAGAACCTATGTACTTGTCTGAAGGCTGCCAGAACTTTAATGTTTTGAATGACAGGTTTTGTCAGGTTATCAATCTCACTGGTGAAGTATCCAACATGCTGTTATTAGAAAACACTTCTGGTGGGGAGTCATGGTCTAGTGGTTCGGGCATAGAGCTTGGAATCCTAAGGTTCTGGGTTCGAGCCCCACTACCACAGACTGCCATTCTGGCTCTCTGAGCAAGAACCTTAGCCCCACACTGCTCCCCTGGTGGGCCACGATGGCAGTCCCCTGCTCCCCAATGGTTGCAGAGTGGGTTGAATGCAGAGGTAAATTTCTCCAATTTGAGAAAGTTTAATTCAAATTTCTCCATCTCAGTGGATAAATCTCAGAAATATATTATTACTTTATGAACTTCAATTTGAGTTTTTCTTTCCATCACTCTGTTCATATTTGCTGATTATTGTGCTTTTTAATTGATACCCATCTTTTTATTTTTAACGTTGCAAACTCAACATCAATTGTTTGCATTTTTCAGCTACATTAGCCTCCTCGTCCTCACCTTTTTTTTTTTTTTTTTGCATATTCCTTGTTTTAGGGCTAAAAATCAACATAAAGCATTAAGGCATAAAGCCATCAGAAAAGGAAAATATGTAAAAATAATCATGTTTGCCTTTTGATACATAATTTAAAACCACAATTTAAAAACAAAGAAAAGTTGGGTGAAATCGTTTAGATTTACTGCAAATTTTATCACATCTCTACAGTGTCTAAATAATTTAAAATATATGCATTTGCAACCACAATAATATTTCGGTAAATGTTTTGTAGAGAGTTACAAAGAAACATGTTTAATGCTACAGCAGACCTGGAGAATGATGCTGCCACCACCATGCTTAGTAGTTAATGGAGCGTTTTTATGGAGTAAAATCTTCTTTACCAACCATCCTTCTTGTTATTGTGGCCAAATACTTTTTTTTTATTTTTTCCTCTAATCCTCATCTCATTTCCCAATGAGTCATCTGATGTGTCTTTGCAGGTATCTAATTATTTCCGCTAAGCTTTAAATAGCTGATTCATGCATGGCTCCTCTTTTTGTTGGCATTGTGATGTAAACTGTTAAAAGTAACTAGTTTTGTAGCGTCTTCCTGTTGATGGCAGGTTAAATGCCTTGTTATTTCTTGACATTGTGAAAGCTCTCCTTCAGTCTGAGGCTGGCCGTCTGGGCCTACGGGATGAAACTTACAGGCAACGGTACAAACAGGAAATTGATTCTAACGCATCATTATTGGTTTTTGAGGAGATAAAGCAGCATTGGCTTACATAATGAACTTTCTACAGAAAGGTCCTCAACATCAAGGATTTATTGGTCTGGTTTAAAAGCAGGAATAAAAAATAAAATTTTATCACTATTAAAAGCACGTACTGAGATGCAACTTGCTAAAAAAAAAAAAATTAAATATCAGTGGTGGCTTAAGTAAATATTTTAACCTTTTTTCTTTTTTTGGACCCTAAATTGGATATGAGAAAATGCACATTAGTTTCTGATTTCCGCTTCCTTTTCTGTTTGCAAACTTTCTGCAGCTGAATGTTATATTACCACCACTGACTAGAGCAATTCAGAGTATTTCTGAAAACCCCAATAGGAATATGTGGTTCATGTTGAGTGGGTGTGACATTTGACCAAATAGATAGCTCTATGTAATTATTTATAGATCTTAATGCTTCACTTTAAGATCAGCTACGATTCACTGTAATTAACTTCTCCTTAAACCATTTTAATCTCTCCTATCTCTGCTTTTCTCTTTTCCCATGCCTCCCTTCCTTAACGCCTTGTCTCCATTTCACTGCCTCAAGATATTTTTGTAGTTAGTCTCGTACTGACCGTTGCCATGTCGATGGAGGCTGTGGCCTCGTCCATGATGAGGATGCTGCTCTTCCTCACAAAAGCTCTGGCAAGGCAGAAAAGTTGTCTCTGACCCTGACTGAAGTTCTCGCCGCCTTCTGTCACCATGGCGTCTGAAAAAAAAAAAATCACAAAATTTCACCTGCTGCAAACGATGTAGATGCTGAGGCATTGCTCATATTATTACCGTTTAATTTAGACAAATTCAACCTTTCATTTGAAAGAGAATGTATAAGAAAAAATATTTCACAACTTCGAGGCACCAAACAAATGGATCTGTGTTCCCCCGTTTCACTTTGTTTGTCACAGCATCACAAACATAAAGGTGGGAGATTTTTGAAATTTGAATAAAACTGTGTTCTTTGATCAGGTGTCCGTAAGTTGCAGCTTTTTCTGGGGCAGGCTGTGATGAAGAGGGGAGTCCATAGTTTGATTCCCAACCTTACGACCCTTGCAGCAAGTCAAACATCTTAGTTTCCTGCTTAACTGCTGTTAATAAACTACCTGTAGCTTAAAGCCCCAGTTTGGGTTCGGATTCACAAAACAGAGGCTAAAACTTAAAAAAGGACTTCCTGTTATGTGTAGGGGGTAATACCAGTAATACCAGCAGACACTGTTTCCCATGTTGTGGACTTTAGAATTACAATATTAGACCCACTGAGTAATTATGACCAAATAATCAGGAGATTATTGGATACTTTGAATGAAAGTGGGTAAAATTTTTAGTTTTTCCAAGCTAGGTCAAGTTCAGGCTAATAACACTACTTCAGCATACTTTAACTCCAGTAAAAGTAAAAAGTAGTCATACAAGAAATGACTTAAGAGTAAAAGTACTGGATACATCCAATTTACCAATTAAATGATAGATCAAAAGGTAAAGTCAATTGCAAATTCAGGTATTTTAAAGACTGTAATAAAATAATAATAACCGATAAACAATAGCTGATAATAAATCGAGGTGCAGGAAACACTTTCCCAAACCTATTTTCTTTTCAAAAATTAAACTTATGAAACAAATCCTCACAGTAGGTTATTTATACGTATTAGGACAATGAAAAATGACCTGCAATGAAAACTTTCTTTCCTACAAGCTTGACCTCCAAATGTCATGGTAGCTGTAGGAGCCAATTATTTTTTGTTAATGATTAAAAATGTTTTGTGTTTTCATGCATAATCTAGCTAAGTTTATTTAAATTTATTGCTTAATATCTGTTATGAGATTATGTTTTTTTGGTTATTTAGTCATGTTCCTTTATTTTTTTGGTTAGTTATGATTAATTTAGGTTAATAATTTTTTTTTTATAAATAGGCAGTCAATTGTAGGACCAGCATGCATCTGGGTGGGCGTATGGTTTTTTACCAGCGCAAGAGAAACATCGAGTAAATGTTTGTCTTTTTTGTTTGCTTGCCTAAGGAAAAAATAAACTGACAAAACTAAAGGAGTTTACCTGGAACATTTTTTTTCTTTTGCCTGCGTAAAACAAGTCCATGGTGCATCTGTGGCCTTAGTGGATTTTCCCTTTTTTGAGCCATCAAAGCAACAGTAGCAATTCCAGATATATAATAAGCCTCTGTAGAAAAAAGAATGCTCATTCTGACCTAAACATGAACTATGTTTTCCTGGGACTTTTATGTTTCAAAAAAGCTTATTTAGTCCTTCCGTAATGATAGGCACAGTGGATGGAGAAGCCAAACTTTTTAAGCAAGTAAGAGGAGCATGTTACAAAGATACCACTCAAGTAAAAGTAAAGTATGGTGCAGTAAAACTACTATTTGTGTCATTAGTAACTCAAGTAAATGTAACTTTTGCTCTTATTCCAAAGACCTTCATACATGCAAATAACTTGAAATAATAAACTACCAGTGTTTGTCAGCATCGTCAATAGGAATCTCTTGTTTTGGTAAATTCATGAATTTGTTTTATTATTAAAAAAATTATGAATGAACAAGAATTGCAAATGAGATGATATAAACTGATTGTAGAGTAGTTTTCACCAGTCTGCAGCTTGCATCTGTCTAAAATCTGAGCAGATTCCAGTCAGTCCAATAACCATCTGTTCACTTTAGTGCAGTGTAAGCTAAGTATCTCTAACAACGGCTTTTCCGGAACTTTAAACTTGCTCAATAATTGAAGTGAAGTCTGTATTAGAAGCTGTAACATGATAAATATTTCCCTTACGGGTGTAATATTTATGAGTTCTCCTGAAATAAAAGCCTTTTTCAACTTAAGAAATGAATAAAATCAAAAGCTTTCAGTGAAAAGATTGAGGGTGAATTCATTAACATCTAAGCTTTTGAAAAAGAGGATGTTGGAAACCATTTTTAATTTGTGCTTAATTTCCTCAGCTCTGTATTGATAAACAATGTTCCCCAATTATCCATGCAGTGAAGTGCACACTGTTTTATGTAGCATATACACTGCACAGTTATTTTCCTTAAATTATAGGGAAACTTAATTAATATAAAATAAAGATATAGATAAGATGGATGGATAAATAGATAAATTACTTAAGCGTCTGGCTTCAGTTTAGGGTTTAGAGTAGTGTGCACTACAAAAGGAAGCAGGTTTCCGAATCTAAAGGAGGAAAAAGAAAATTAAATGACAGCATTTATCAGTAATTTCATGTTCACAGCAACCGGCTGCTCTGTTTTCTTACTAAAAATTGTCTAAAAAAGCTGAAGATAAAATAAACACTTCAGTAAGAATCTCCCTGTAAAGCTAAATGTAAGAGTTGATGTGTGTACAGCAGTTTATTTGCTTCAAGATATAGAGACTTGCTAAGGTATTCATAACCAGTCAAAGTTTGGTCTTTTCTGCTTCATTTGAACTACAAATTTAACTGTGTTTTATTGTGGTGTTGCATGACTGATTTTTTTTGTTCTGACAAAGAGAAAGTCTGAAAATTTAGCTATACATTTGTATTCTGACTCCGTTTGATACTTTGTAGAGCCACTTTTTGCAGAGACTAAAGTCTCATTGGCTTATTTCTCTACCAGTTTTGCTCATTTAGACAAACACGTCTTATTCTTCTTTGCATTAGCCAAGTTAGGATGCAGGAAGAAAATATTTTTAAGTCTTACCACATGTTCCTTGTCTTATTTAGACCTGGACTGTGGCTGGGCCAGTCTGACACATGAATATGTTTTAATCTAAACCATTTTAATTTTGCTCAGACTGTATATTTAAGTCAATTGTCCTGCTCCAATATGCCTTCTTCCAATCTTCGGATTTTCAACGGGTTTTCCTCTAGGACTTGCCCGTATTCAGCTCCACCCATCTTCAGATGTACTCTGATCAGTTAATGAAAATTTTCATCAAAGAATATTCATGTCCCTGTAGAAGAATAGTATACCCACAGCATGATGCTGCCACCACCATGTGTCACCATTGGGTTGGTGAAACATGTTAGTTTTCCAATTACACACAACTACATAGAGCCAATTAGAAATATTCTGAAGGTATAAAGGTACATAAAGGTGCATCAGCTCATTTTGGGGTGTTATTAGTTTATTTTATCATTAATAATATGTTATATTTATAAAATATATTTATTTAAAAATACGTATTTAAAAAACTGCTAAAAAAAAAAAGTCTCAGAGGAGCTGCAGACTGAAGGTTTTCAGCGTTAAAATGGCAGCAGATTCTGAGCCTGGGATGGAAGGTTAAGAACAGCAGATTATTTGGTTAAAACCTGACAGATAAAGCCAGGCTTCTTCTGAGGAATCTGGAAAAGAGATTACCACAGGTGAGAATAAGTACATTAAACATATTGCAAAGTCTACAGGAAGCCAACCTGAACTGTATAAATGATGTGGAAAATTAGTTTATATCTGGGTTTAGAAAGTCTACCAGCTGCGCTTTGGATGATTTTTTATAGACAGAGGCTGAATATAACAAATATAGGCAACACTTTTTAAACCACTACAAACCAGACACTATGCTTTTGTTTTTGTTTTTTTAAAACAATCTCTGTTTTTTTTTTTTCTTTTTTTATATTATAAAACCAGATTAAAATACAACATGGATAGAAATTCATGAGGTATGAATACTTTTACAAGTCAGTGAAACACCAGATGTGACCCTGAGTCTGCGGCAGGCGTCAGCTGTCAGATCTGCGGTATTGAGAAGGTGAAGTAAGTTAAAAATTTAACGCATAAGCGACCTGATACAGCCGTTTGTTCCTTGAACACAGACGCTCAGCGATGGCACGGAGAGGTGATGAATCGTTTATATCAAACTGAATGCCAGCGTTTGTTTTCTCCTACCCAGACCTCCTGGCAAGGTTTTAACAACAGGCTTTAGCTGGGCGATCTCCAGAGCTTCCCATAACATCTCATCCGTCGCCTTCATCTCTGGGTCCAGGTTGAACCTGCACACATGTACCCACCAACCAACATTTAAAACTGCTCTTAGTTAAAACATGACAAATATATAAATACATAAAAGAAAAATAGCAGAAACTTTTCTCATTCATCTAAGATATGAAAAATTGTGCATGTAGATTTTACAGTAAAATCTTTCATTTCTATAAAGCTGTTTAAACATTGATCCAGAACTTTTAATCTATACTTAAAGGTATAGAGAACAAACTTTTATTGGATCATCTATATAAGTGTTCCTCTTAATTGTCAGTAATTCTGGTGATATGTTTATGTAAGGCCGTCCTACGTGCTCGTCCCGTTAGCTATATTTTTTTGTGCATGCATACTTTCACTTGTATATCTGTGGTGAGTTATGGTTTTAAACAGTCATTGAATCTCACCTTTCTCACCACTGTTCTTTGAAAATGGCCGAGGGTCGAAAGAGAAAAAGTGTCTGTGAAGTGTATGAGAAGAAAAGAAAGGCCTCAGAAAAGGCAGTTATATCCCAGTGTGATTTGCACGGGAGCGCTCCTTGCAAAGCATTATGGGATTTGCTGTCATAGCGGTCTGTTGTTAACATAGGCTGTCGCTACCTGACAGCGGCGACTTATATCAAAGATGGCACAGGCCCCCAAAGTGGAGGAGGGGTTATGTGACCAATGGGGAGCGAAAAGCAGTGATCATCTGTCCGAATGGTCAGTTAACTGAGTTTCCTATAATGTCCACTATATAGTCCCCGCTCTATATAACGATTGAGTGATTTAGGGGTTCAGGCGGATGCTCGGGCACAATAAACTTGTATGAGCGATGCAAACAGCCACTTTTAAAGCATGCATGAGGAGAAATAGGCTTGTGCATACTCTCGCATGCATTTAATAGGACTTCCCTCTTGGGAGCAGATAAAGGGTTGTGCATGTGCATTTTTTTTTTTAAGTGGAGAGGGCGGGTCTTTGCAAAAATTCGTGAAAATCCTCGACTATATCTTTACGTATCCAAAAACTGCTGCCTTTTTAAAATCCTCATTGTCTGTCCTCCAGCATGAAGGGACTTTTATGGTATGTACTGATGTTTATAAATAGGCAGCTCTTCTGAACATTTCAGAGAAACGCCTCTTATCTATAAGCAGCTCTACTCATGTTTCAGATAAGTGTGATTAATGGTTGGCACAGCTTTCCCAAATGTTGGTCCTACTGGAAATGTTCTGTGTCCCTCTTCATTAACTAAGAACGCTATCAGCACAATCTGATCTAAACCTCCATTAACGAGCCTTCCTGTTGGAGCTCGTCGTACCGGATGGTGCCGCTGAACAGGAAGGGGTCCTGAAGGATGATGGACAGCCGAGACCTGAGGGTCTGCAGAGGCAGCTTGGAGATGTCGATGTTGTCAATCACAATCCTCCCTATGAAAAAGGAAAAGAGATGGTAGTTTTATTGTTTTACTTCTTTGAAAGCCTAAAGCAGTAATGGAATATAGAGAGACAAATTAGTAGGCACCCACGTTCAGTATGCAAAAAGGTCGTATAATAAATTCATCTTTTTTTTACTGCAGCAGGATCATTTGTCACTGAAATTATTTAAAAACGGTTACAGTTTCTGTACATTTATTCAGAGGAGAAATAATTACTTTAACAAATCTCACCAGTGACTCAATTATTATTCCTCTCAAAGAATATCCATAATTTCCTTTCCTAATAATGTTGAAAGAGTTTTTATTTTATGCTTCATATTTTCAAAATCTTTTTGGACACTAAGGTACTTTCAATAAGAAATGTAATCAAAATTGAAGAAAACAGGGTGAATCTGTTAAAAAGGTTGATTTGTGCACAGACACCATGTCTGTTTACATTCTGGGAGGACAATCAGAACAACAGCATGCATGGGGCAAATATAGAGCACTGTGAGCCGTTTAAACAGGGCCAGCTTTATGGTGTACAAAACCATGGGCGGTTCTACACGGGGGCCACCAGGGGCCAGAGCCCCTGTACTACTGTTCCTAGCTCCCTGCAGTCTAAAGAGGGAATGCAGCTCCAACTAAAATGAATTGCTTCCATTTGTAACAAGTAACTGAATTAAGTTTGCCCAACTTCATTTATTCATCTTGGCAACTTATAAATGAAGTGATTCAATTGGATCAACTTGATTTAATTACCTTTTAACCCAATTGAAGCAGTTAATTTAAATCATAGCTACATTCTATTTTTATTGCTATTGCTGCTGTGCTGAAGACAAAATGCTAAAAAGAAAAACCTGTAATGATGATATGCGCTGGAATAGATGTACTACGACTAATGGGTCCCTTCCTTGGACCCATTTCATTTTTTCCTTTACAGTTTTGTTTTAAGTATGATCTAAATATGAAGGTGATAGTTAAGTCCTACAGAGATTTGATCATAGTTTCATCTGCTGATTTTGATCTTTAACAAAATAAACAATAATTTATGAGTTTACTAACCTTCTAGTTATTATCTTATTAAAACTGGTAACTCTGTAAATTGACCTAATATCCCAAAGAAAGGCTCTTTTTCATCTTTTAGTTGATATTTGTTTAGGAACTAATTATTTCAGTTGCTTTATTTTCCATGAAATTAGAAATATACAATATACAAGCATTAACTTATATTTAAACTAAATGGGGTGCAAATTGCAATTAATTTAGTGCACAAGTGCCTTTTTGGTTTTGCTGTTCACTTAATATATTTTAAATGATAAAATATTTTTCTGTTTAGTGCTTTTCTGTGCCTCCATTAAAAAGTGGCCTCACCATGCCACTATACAAAAAAATACTCATAGTAAAAAAATATTTAAAAACTTATAATAAAAGAAAAAGACAAGCAGCCAGATGTCTAATCATATATGTAATTAAAAACGACTCTTTTTATTTCAGCTATCAAAGTTGTTTTCTGTCCCAATCAGGAAGGATTAAGGAGCAACTAGATAAAAAAAAACACATCCAGAAAAAAACCCAAAAACTTTTAAGACTTCGTATTGAAATCAAATATTTTAATCTCTACAATAAGTAAATTCCTTTTCACTTTGTTTCATTTCCTGTTTCCCACATGTATGAATATGAGGCGACACAGAAAGCTCTTCCTTTATCCACCAGGCTGGAGAGAGACCCGTAAAATTGCCACATTGCTTGGTATGGGGAATGTTGAGGGAGGTAAGATAATATCTCAAAGCAAACAAAAGAAAAATGTAGCATCCTAAACTTACCAAGTATCCATAAAAAAATTACTCGATTCTACTTAAATGTATCATTTGTAAGCAATGCCCTCCTACTCATGATACGATTGTAAAGGACGGTGGAGGATCTGTATCACTGTTTATCTTCCCAAGGCCTTAGAAAGCATCTTAGAAATGTATGCTTTCTAACAATCTGGTGGAGATTGTTAGAAAATATACACAAGTTTGTCATCATCAGGTTTGTCAGCAGGAAAATGTTCCAACCTTTATGGAAAAATTAACCAAAAAAAGTTGGTCGATCTTTCTTGGCCATCTTAATCCCTAAGAGAGCTAAGAAAAATCCTGAGATGAACAGAAGAGTCCAACAAAAGAAAAGGGACTGACTGCAGTTCTACTGTAAGGTGCCTTGGCCAAGGTCAATGACCGGTGTACCTGACATGTAACAACCATAGCATGCATATTGCTTTAGGTTAATAGACTATATTAATTAGGCTATGTATGCTTCCAGAAAATAAAATAAAATAGCCAGCCTCCCCCTTCTTTTTTTTTTTTTTTTTTTTACAACTACTGTAGACTACTGGGGGTAATAATAAATGAGCCACGAAGGATTTGATTTAAATCTTACCAACATGATTCTTTTTTCTGTATTGAATAGATCTCCTAAAATCAAACCTTTTCTGTATTTATGTTTTCAGATTAAGCAGTTGTAATAGAATATTTATCTATAATATGCCTTTTTCCACATCTTTACCAGAAGTGCTAACAAACAGCTCTTTATCTGTGATGTTAAATAAAATTTTACCCTCAAACATGTCCACCATGCGGAAGAAGGCCAAGGAAAAAGAAGATTTCCCGCTGCCAGTTCTTCCACAGATCCCCACCTAAAATAATAAAAATCCAGGTAAATGGCTCTGATCTGTAGAGTCTCTACAGACAGTAACATTCACACGCTCACTGCTCACCTTCTGACCGGGATGCACATGTGCGTTGACATTTTTGAGCACAGGTTTTAGTGTGGCGTCATAACGGACGCTCAGATTCTGGATCTTTATTTCTCCTTGTCGAGGCCAACCCTCGGGTACCTGAGAGACACCTGAGACACACACAATACATTCTCGTTAGCTCTTTTTGGTTAGAGCAAATCAAAGAAAGGATTATTATTTTTATTTTATATCAGAATTAAAAACTCTATGAATGCAAAACATTAGAGGCTAAAAGTCTTTGGTATAAACACAGTTAAAGACTAAAAGGGTGTGGGCTGAAATATGACTGCTCCACTCACTGAGGAGTCCCTCGTAATTCTCCGGTTCAATTTTGAGCAGGCCATTAATCCTCTTGACGGAACCAAGCTGCACCTCCATGTCTGCCAAGTTCCTCACCATCCAGTTCATGTAGTTAGACACCTGATACAAGAGGACAGCAAGGACAGTTGAACTCACGTAGTCCCCCCAGCCTGGACACACAGCTACATGACTGCACTGCGTAGTCTGAATGCTGCGTGACAGAAAGGCTGAATCAGGCAAAAGGACTAAAGTGTCAGAGATTTTTGAGAAAATCTAATAACAGTATTATCTTTTAACATTGTTTTCCAATTTTAAAGTACTTAAAAACAATCATAAAACACTCAAAAAAGAAAAACAATTAACCATTTATAGGTTGTACAGTAAAATACTTTCAAGTCAAGAGTGTTATTGGAGGACAGAACAAGAAAAAAAAAGTATTTCCGTAGCAAAAACTCAAGGTTAATATAATTATCAAAAATAGTCACGTGATAAAAAAAAAAAAAAAGTTCTAGAAAGAAAGAAACATTATGGTACAGCATAACCCTAAATAACCCTGTGTAGTGGCGGCCTAGTGGTTAGGGCATAGGGCTTGGAAACCTGAGGTTCTTAGTTAAAGCCCCACTCCCACAGTCTGCCACTCTGGGTCTCTGAGCAACACCCTTAACCCCACACTGCTCCCCAGGGAACGGGTTAAATGCAGAGGTAAATTTCTCCAATGTGAGATCAATAGAGTTAAATTATTATAATTATTAATGCTGATATTGGAACTTTAATTTCTTATTTTTTAGCTTAGCTTATTACCTTTTTAATCAGCTTTTTCACTTTTAAGTTAGCCTTTTAACAGTTTTAATTTTCTTATAACATTTTTAACAGAATTAACTTACTTGTTTCAATCTTAATTTACCGCAGATAGAATATTACACAAAGTAGGCAACATTAGATTAATGGTTGTATGCTATGAAGCATTTAGGCTCAGCTTTAAGACAGAGGTGGACCTTGCAGACCATGCAGATCACATTTGACCTCATGATTTTGCCAAGCTTTCTGCAAAGTGGTGTTTATATCCAATGGTAACCTGCACAATAAGGTTAAGGAATTGTTTCAGTTAAAATATAAGATGAAATATAAGATGATGTGATTTCTAATTTGCCAATGTTCTTTATAATAAGACAAAAGAAAAAAGGACTGACACCAAAAACTTTATACTTTACTTTATATTCATTTTTTTTCTGTGGTCAAAAATTCAGCCTTGTTCATTCATCTCAATCTTTTGGAAAAAATAAAAAAACTAGTTTCATTTTCAAAGAATTAACCTAATTTTTAAATGTTCAATTACACCTACAATTACAATATCTACGTATTTTTTTTAATCCCTTTTTCTTTACGATATTTACAAGGATGCACTGCATTACTTGTGTGACACTGACTTCTGAGAGGTGCATTGCAACAAATCACTACATGATGATGTGTGGATAGGGCAGTTGTTCAAATGAATCATTTCAATCCAAGTTTTGGGTTGAAGATGTGTTTGCAAATCTGAAAATATTACAAGAGAGTGTTGAAGGCATAGTGCAGATACTGTAATGGAGTACAGAAGGGCCGCTTTAAAAAAAACTGAACCAAGATGAGAAACAAATTGTAGGAACCGTTCCAAGATTGAAAATCTAATGACTGAGTATGCGGAGTAGATTTAAACTCAAATGGAAAAGAATTGCTAGACTTAAACAAAAAAGTTGGGAAGCAGTGAATTTCAGGCTCTTACAGTCTCTTCTGTTGTGAATGTAAGTGCAAAATAAAACCTTCTTGGTGGAGGCAATATCTGTGACAGTTCATATTTCTGTCTATGTGACTATGACAAATTTTTTTCACACATAAACAACATTTTTATGTAATAAACCAACACAAGACCATGCATAGTTGTCAAACTTTGATGCAAAAACTATATCAAGCACTTGTACTCAACTCTGTTTTCACTTCTGAATAAAATCTAGTCCTATGTGTTTGTCACATAGTAAATAAACAGGAACACAAAGACCAAAGAACATTCAGGTTTTTAAAAATAAAGTAATATTGTGAAATAATATAAAAAGCTTTAATTATTTCAAGAAGCACGGTTCAACCTTTCATATGAAAATGGAAGGAGTACATGGAAGTCTATCAATTTGTAGGCAGTCAGAGTACAGGTCGATAAAAACAAATGCATTTTTGTTTGTTGATTTCCCATGTCCCATGTTTTCTTTCCAGTTCACAAACATGCACTAGTTTGGGTTGGTCTGTCATGTAAATTTGCAATAAGATTCATCCAAAAAAGGAAAGGACGTACCCCTTTATAGTAAGATCTATCGTTTTCATTTAAACCAGGGATGCTAGAGCCTTGCTCTCCAAACATTTGGACAGCACCTTCTCTGAAGTTTGGGATTGTTAGTTCAGTTTAGCCAATGATAAATAATTATGCAGTATTCAGATAATTTATAAAAAATTGGGGTGGGATGGTGGGGTTGCAGCAATTAACCACGCTGCTCGTAGGGAAGTTGTAGGGAAGCGGATGTTCCAACCTTTGCATTTCCGCATTCTCCCGAGTGGTGCCCGACTTTACACGAGTGAATAAAGTGAACGCCATTAGGGGGCAGGATTGTTGTGGTAGAAGGTTCGCAAGCAAGTTTGGTTGTGGCCGGTGTCATCTTTCCAACCAGTTAGCAACTTGGTGCTAGTAGGTTCCCAATGGGAAATTGAATTGGGACCAAGTAGCAGCTAGCAAGGACACTGTAAAGGAACGCTATGGACAGCGGAAATATGCAAGAGGAGGAGAGTTTTGTGTCTGTGGTCATGGATGAGTCTCCTCCGTCATCCATTTTTTATTTAGAGGAGGAAAGCGGGGATGAAGATGTTGTGGAAGGGGACGCCAGGGCGGCAGAAGCTTGATTTGGTGTGAAAGGCTTACAGCCGTACATGTTTGAGCCCTTGCCTCGCAACGCTGGCAGTTCTGTTAGCTCTACGCCTGCCAAAAAGACAGACGTCCATCCAAGAACACTTGGGCGTAACTCAATGGTAAAGTAATGATTCTTATTTCTTATTTCAATTGTTGTGTATATAAGCTGCGACATATAAAGATGCTTTGACCGAAAATTTTATTGACAGATGACCGTTGATATATGATTGGCCGAATTTAGGTGAACAAGCTGATGTATAACTAACTGGCCTGCATAAGATAACAAAAAAACCCCCACAGATTTTAAGACAGGGTGTTTTTAAAAATAGACATTTTCTAACTTTTGAGACAATATCGTCTGAGAAAGAGTACATTAATATACATGTTTAAGCCAGAATGATTTGACATTTAAATATGACTTCCCTACAACTTTATAAAAAGACAATTGAAATCAAGATAAATTCAATCTGCAGCAACAAGATTATATTTTTTAACCAAAACAATCCAATAAAAAGTTTTTTGTATAGTAAGAAAGACAAATTATGATGTCTTAGTGATGAACCTTGAGTTAAAATGAATATGGCTTTTCTTTGTGCAGATGTGCAGCTGTTGCTGCATACTTTAAATGTACGAGATCTTAGTTAAAGAATAAAACATGCTCACCATGAGAGCGTATGTGAGTCCCAGCCCCACCAGGCCGGGGGGTAGCTGGTTGTAAAGAGAATTAGTGATTGACGCTACAGCCGCCACCAGCACCACACAGGCTCCAACGTACTCCTGCAAAACACAGCAAGGAAACTCGATGAGCAGCTGAACAGGATGCATTGTAGGTAGAGTGATCCCTGGAGAACATTGGTTTATTGACAGAGCACATCAAACTGATGAACATGTGTAGTTTTCTGCATTTCTCCACACGGTCTAATTAACATGTCAAGGCTTTGTCAGCAACTTATGAAGGAACAGCAGCTGAGGCATTAAACATGACATGAAGACTGCATTTTATGGAAATAGCCAAATCAGACCACTGGTTTACCAGTAATTGAACAGAGGGAGCAGTTAGCCATATACTCTGAGATGATTGTGAGTCAGATCAGAGACCAACAGAGAAGCAGAACCGATCTGAAATTTAAATATCTAAACAACAGATGGGTCATTACCATGCGGACCTCCAGCCAACGGTTGGCAGCCGTTAGGAAGAGCGAAGCGATGTTGTTGGCGTCGGTGTACTGCAGCAGCCTCTGCCGGAACCTTGGCTCATACCTGCCGAAGAGAAGATTTTATTTGTTCCACAACGTTTCAAGCTCTGTGAAGGTTCCCCTGATGGCAGCTTTTGGCTGCCTGACAGACTCAGAGGCAAAATTAAAGAGGGGGAAGGTCATCCTCTGGCACGATGATTACACTGCAGGGAAGTAGTCCAATAACTAGTTATAGGTTTCTGAGGCTGCTTTTAACTACACAAAAAATTTGATTCATATCAAAAACTTAACAAAAGAAAATACCTGGCAAATATACAATACATCAGGTATTGTATATTTTGCCAGGTATTTTCAGTAAGGAAAAAGGACGACTGCTATCAGCAGACATATCTTTAGTGTCCCACAGTGGGAAATTTAGGAAGAAACAAAAATATCCTGAATACGGTTAGCTTCATGATGTGAGCAGAAAGTTAAAGAGAGACAGGGACACACACTACAAAAAGAGAATATTAAAAGGATGAAAACAAAGAGTGGCAGCCTCTGATACAAAGTGACCAGCTCTGCTTGACGCTGTAAGGAAATAATGAACAATTAGAAGTCAAACTCTTCTGCTGTGGCAGTCATTCCCACCATTTAGTATGCTGAGGTAACATGGCATTAGGTTATGCTAAAGTTGCATCTTTTCTGCAGCACTAAGTATATTTTGTTGCATCCAAGCCTGCTGGGTATAGACAAAAAGACAAGTTTTTCAGGTGGAATCATTCAGAATATGAGTCTAACCTTATCCTAAGGCAGCCATTTCAAGCATGTAGCATGCTGAGGTGCAGAAATGTTAATCAGTGCAGAAAGAGCATATGCATGGTATACTGAGATCTGATAGTGTTAAGATCACTTTTTTGTTTTATTCTTTCAAGGACTCTCATAAATTGGAGCTGATGAGTATATGGCTTCTCTTTATTTTTGTTTTTGTTTTTTCCTACTTGCTCTGATTCTGTTTTATTTTCCTATATTGTAATCATGTAAACCACTTTGCATTGTCTTTGTACTGAATTGTGCTATACAAATAAATTTGCCTTGCGTCTGAGCCCTCATATTAAGTATACTGAGTTGTTATATACCTTTATGGTTGCTTCAGCATCAGACATATAGAGAGGCCATAAAGGAGTATTATTCACATAAACCTGTGTTACTTTAAACATCACTCAACACCATGGCAGAAATAACAGTTTGTTCATTTCAAAAGAAACCTCCAAGTCAATCATATGTTAATCAGCTAGAATAAAGAAAAAGCACTCCTTTAAGCTGTTTAAAATCACTTTATACGGAAAAGCTTCCATTAAAGTTCCAATATATCTTTCCTTTAACAACAAAAAACTAACGGCTTTCAAAACCCAATTTCTAAAAGCAACAGCAATTGTGCTTCAAATTCTTCAAAAAAAAAAAAAAATATATATATAAAAATTGTAGAATTAAAAATATA